GGAAGATACCCCCATTTCCCTTGAATAAAAACCCCCGATGGCTACAGATAACCTAGCACCATCAGTAAATACCCCAGTGTTATACCAGAGTTACACATATACTCCAATTTAAACATATACAGTAAAACCCCCAACTTACGAAGGCCATCTTACATTAAAATCGACTTACAGAGCGTTTCAGCATAAAAATTTCCCCCGACGTACGAACAGAAACTTGACTTACATCATTTGTCCCGAATGCGTCCACGCGTCCCTCTGGCCTGAGCATGCCTTAGCTGTCCTGCCTTCAGTTAGTGTGCCAATGTTTACAAGCCAGTCAGGTCATTCACACGCATTCATTCAGTACATTTGTATTTTTCCCAGTGTTTTAGTGCTTGTAACTGCTAAATAAGCCACCATGGGCCCAAAGAAAACCTTCTAGTGCCAAACCCCTGTGGTAAAAAGGGTGAAAACTACTATAGAAATGAAGAAAGAGATATAATCACAAATTATGAGGGTGGAGTGCATTTCTCCGAGCTGGCCAGGTTGGACAACAAACCCCAATCAACCATTGCCACTATCTTGGCCAACAAAAAGGCAATTAAGGAAGCTGTTGCTGCAAAAGGTGCAAGTATCTTTTTGAAATACAGATTGCAAGTACAGTGGACCCCCGGTTAACGAACTTTTTTCATTCCAGTAGTATGTTCAGGTGCCAGTACTGACCGAATTTTTTCCCATAAGGAATATTGTGAAGTAGATTAGTCCATTTCAGACCCCGAAACATACACGTACAAACGCACTTACATAAATACACTTACATAATTGGTTGCATTTGGAGGTGATCGTTAAGCGGGGGTCCACTGTACTTGAAGATGCTGAGAGACTGTTATTGGCATGGATAAACGAAAAACAGACATCAGGAGATAGCATCTCTCAAGCGATCATGTGTGAAAAGGCAAGGCAGTTGAATGAAGATTTTATTAAAAAAATGCCTGCAACTAGTGGTGATGTGAGTGAATTTAAGGCCAGCAAAGGTTGGTTTGAGAGATTTAAGAATCGTAGTGGCATACACAGTGTGATAAGGCATGGTGAGGCTGCCAGTTCGGACAAAAAAGTAGCTGAAAAATATGTGCAGGAATTCCAGGGGGGACATAGAGGCGAAGGATTGCAAAACCCCAACAAGTGTTTAATTGTGACGAAAACAGGCCTGTTTTGGAAGAAAATGCCAAACAGGACTATTACAACCCAGGAATCCAAAGGCCTGTTATCCAGGGTTTTAAAGGGAGCAAAATAAACACAGCAAAAAAAAACTTTTGACTTGTATTATCCTTCACCAAATTTGGCCCGGGCCTTGTAAATTAAGTGAACAGACCCAGATCAAGCCTTCCTACTCCAGGGTTGCAGGATTGCCAGATATCTCTGTTTCCAAAGCCCGAGGGACTGTCCTTCTGGAAGGAACAACGAAAGGACCCTTCTTTGAATTTCGCTTTCAGGCAGCCATGGGTAAATCCTTTTTGGATCATCTGGTCAAGTATAAACTTAAAAAAGACTATTTGATCTGCACTGAGACTGGTAAGGAGATAGAGGGCCAGCAACTGTCAGACAGGTTAGTGGTTCCAACAAAGTTAAGACCTCAAATATTGAATAATACTTCATTAGGAGGTCACTAGGAATTACTAAAACATTATAAAGAATCACAAAAGAATTTTTTTGGCCAAAATTAAGGCAGGAAGTGAAAAATCATACATGTTGCCGAGAAGGGCAGCAAGTGGGGAAACCGGGACTTTCCCAAAAACCTGCACCTCTCCACCCAATACCTGCTGATGGAGAACCTTTGCAGATTAATTATAGTTTGTGTGGCCCCACTACCTAAGTCAAGTCTGGAAATCGTATTATTTCCTTTATGGAAGAGAAAACTAGATACCCTGAAGCATTCCCAGCGCAGTATTAATACTAAAGCCATTCTAAAGGGCTTTAAACCAGTTTTATTTTTGTTTTGGCATTCCTAAAACATTCAAAGTGCCAAGGTACTAATTCATCCAAAGCTGTGGGGCAAATTTCCCACGCCAACCCAAAATCAAAAAAATTAAGGAAATTGAGTTATATATACCGAAAATAGCTTAACTCTTTGGCAACACATGGTACCAGAATGAATGTTCTACAAAATTCAACAAGAAATTTTTTCCCATTTATATCGGTAGGGTGCGGCGATGGAGTAGCGAGCTGCTCACACCCCCTATTTTTTTTTGGGAAATTTTTTTTCCTTTTTTTTATCTCTTTTTTTGATTATTCTTTCTAAAAAATAGCTGACTTTTTTGGCATCATAAAACATAGGTGGAATTTTCCTAGGTTTTGACCCTCCCGGGCCTACCCGCCGCTCCTGAGGTGCCAGGAAAATACTTCATTTTTACATTTAAATTTCAGCTTTTATATCATCTACAGTTATTTACTATCAAAATTTGATCTATATGAATAATAAACACTATAAATAACATACAAACATGTTTATACTCTAGACTGAATAAATTTTAAGCCAAAATAAATGGCAGAACCCATCGTAATTTCATATAAAATTGTTACCCCTCAACTTCTTGTTGTATGATTTGGTCTTCAATGTAATAACGGGGTTGAAAGGATACTGCACTAGAACCCAGTTTTAAGAAATACCCCGAAAAAAAACGTGTTTTCACAAATTTTTTTTTTTTTTCGGACGGGGGCCCCCCGGGGGCGCTCCCCCCAAATATTTTGGAAGAAAACTTTTTCCCTAATCCCCATTTTTCTTCCTTTATTATTAATTAAAGGGGAATAATATTCACAGACATTGTAGAAAATGTTTTCTCTATTTAGAAAGGCATTTTTGGAAAAATATTCCAAATACTTTCGGAGTTATGTGGGAAAAGGGCAGATTTTTGCAACTTCCAAATAAAAACTTTATTTTTTGTAAATAAAGAAAAGACTTTTAGGGGAAAAGGGTACTATAGAAAATCGTATAAGCATTGTTTCTTCGGCACCAAGGCCCAAAAAACCCTCACTAGC